CAAGGAATATGATCTATATTTGAAATCTAATACCCTACAAATATTACAATTCAGCTTCATGGATTTTTCCTCTATTTCATATTAGAACTAGCATAAAATTATTTTTGTATAGCCCTTAGATAACTGGAATTCATTATAAAACACAGTAACAAATTTCAACTGGGATCATTTAACCCTAATTAAATGTAAATGGATAATAAAGTTATCAGTATAATTATTCATAATAGTTATCTTCAACATTAATGATTTGGAAAAATAGAAATGCATCCCACCGACATCTATCTGGCTACTGTAAAGCAAAATAGGAAGCCTTTTTGCCTAATGTAGTTAGGACTTTCTGTCCTTAAAAAAATGAGTGAGAAAGAATCATACACCTTAGAATGGAAGTGGTGAACTGTCTATCATATAACCCTCTGAAATCTATTTAACCTTTCAGTGTTATGCTGTTCCATTTGATGTAATTGTTAAAAGACATTCTTAACAGTCAAATTTACCATGCCATAGAATTGTTAATTATGAAAAATGTCCAGGTACTTCAGCACCTGTTTTAGAAGTCTGCCCTAAATGGAAACTGTTTGTACTCACTATACAGATTGTTGATCAGTTCAGCATGTGTCTTCCCAGTTGAGGTCCAAGCCATGGTTCTTGTTGGCAGCAGTCCCATCAGCAAAACAGAAAAAGGCAGCGAATAGCTCATTGCACATAAATGTTCCCAATCCTTCCTAGCCATTCAGTGAGTTTTTTAAAAAAGGGAAGAAGCAAAAGTTGTTTAAATAAAACTTTGTAGAAACAAAATCATACATCAACCAGAAAGCAGCCGAGATTAAGAATAGATCCCCAGAGGAGTGCATAAATAGAAAGAACACATTTGCTGCTCAAGTTCAGAGTAAGCAATTTTTCATGTTGCCAGAGGGAGTCTGGCAATGAATTCAGAAGCTTGTTCACTTGTAAACCTTCGGTTGATCAGAACATAACAATCCAACTCTAAATTTTAGAATTTGCATCATTATAATAAAAGATCTTTAGCACCATTCCATTTCAGTAGGTATTGGGCAGTTTTATAAATGCAAACTTCACTATTTTTATTGCTAAGCAGCTCTGGAAGATAATTTGAAAGTTCTAGCTAGTCACCAACACACAGATCCCTCCCCCCAAATTATTTTGTCTTTATACAGAAAGAATTCAGTTGCCTTTCACCTCAGCTTCCAAACTCTGCTTAAATTATTTGATCTTCTTTGGAAGCCAAGCCTGGTACCCTTCTCCTGACAAAAGCATATGAGCTTTTTAACAGAGGTCTGTTAAGAGAAGCCCCTTCCAGGGCGACTCTCCTTGGCATCTCCCTCTCCAGGAAACTTCGCAAATTTAGCAACTTTGACTTGGGTGGACTTCAATTCCCAGAATTCCCCAACCATCCATGGGGAATTCTGGGAAATGATAAATCCACCCATTTTAAAGTTATCCAACTTGAGGCTCGCTGCTTCAGGCCTTCTTTCCTGCATGCAAACGGGGTGGGGGGGGAACAGACAGACGACGACGGACCTGATTTTAGCACAGTGAATTCCAAACCATATGCGGAATCCGAAGCGGTGCTACGCATGCCCACGATTAAGTCAACTTAGCTAGTCTTCCGCTTTCACACACCGCACACTGAACCAGACTACCCCTTCGCTGGTGGGTCCATAGCGGTTAGGACCTCTCAAAGCACCCACCAACCCGAAGTGACAGGGAGGATTCCTCTGTGCAAAACGCGGTAAACCTAGCGTCACGTTCCCAGCCTTTTCAGTTTGTTTATAACACTAGAAAGGAGAAGCAGCTACGGTTCGAGTCCCCGGAGCTCCATAAAACGCAGTTAACGCAAACGCCCAAAGAAATGCCCGGTTCCAAGATGTCGCCTTCAACTACACGGCTTCATTACTTTAAAGAGATATACTTTAAAGAGATAGACGAAAAAGATGGCGTTTGCCACTTCCGTTGCTCTTAGGCGTCTCCATATGCGGGCTGAGGGCTCTGAAGCAAAAAACAAACGACGTGAAACTGCTTAGCGAGACTTTTCCTGCTGGTCTTTTCCTAAGCTCCGTATTTCTTTCCTGGATGAATATACTCTCTTCTTACCCTGTGGGGAAATAGCGCTCGAATGTAGTGTCTCCCACCCCGCCCCTCAAAACTTTCTTTGAGGTCTTGTCTTTCTAAGCACTCCTGCCCCGCACATGGGCGACGCCACAACGAGCTATACGGAACCGGAAGTTACATAGGAATCCCAATCGACCGCGATCCATCTTTAATCGTTGCGGGATCGATGGTTTTTCTTTAGCTGGGTCTCCGTTCTCTTCGCCGATTGGCCAGTGTGGAGGCGAGAGGGATCCGCTCGCTCAGTTTCTCCTCTTGGCGGGTTTTGACTCGCGGGCAGGTTTACGCATCCAGGTAAGGAAGAGTCGGAGCCGCCGATCAAGTCGGTGGGGGTGGCGGGGCTGGTGGGATGGGGAAAATGGTGCAGAACGGGAGGGATCCTCCCCAGCGATCCCCTGGGAAGATCCTTGTCGAAGGCCCTTCGTTTCTGTCTCTCGAGGTTGGCGCATCAGTGTTGTTTTGGCAACGCATCTCTCTTGGGAGGTGGGCCACGCGGTGTGTCTGTATCATGGTGTTTTGTTTTGTTTTTAATTGCCCAAGTCATTCAAGGGCTCTAGTTTGCAAAGCCATTTTTTTTTAAACCGAAAGCCTTTTTCTCCCCCTAGCAATGTTTTTTCCAGGATAGCAATACAGTCTCTCCAGCTGTTCTGGATCGCAGTACTTGGGCATTCCCGGTCAGTGTGTTTGGGGTTTTTGAATGGCTTCAACGCCTCTGGAGGACAGTAGCTTGGAAAATAGGTGGGGGGGAACCCTTCAACACTGTTAGGAGTGAATTGCACAGCAGGACCAAATTCCTGAAGGAGGCTGTGAACTCCTCTTTCTTGGGGATGTTCAGGTGGGTAAATCTACAGGGGATCTCCAAATTGGATTTCTTCATGGAACAGAAGCTGAAATCGGTGGCTTAAAAAGGGTCTCTTCCAATTTTATAGCAGCATTATCACTGAGTACTCCAAACTTTCTTAAATTTTCATTTGAAAGCATTTAACAGCTTGCCGCAGTTCATAATTATATGTTCTATAAGAAGCTGGCATTTGATTTTGTCACAGTCTGTGATACCTACATCACAGCAGAGATTTGCCTTGGAAGTCTCTGCTGCAGAGTTTCTCAACCATAGCAACTTTAAGATGTGTGGACTGGGGAATGGTGGTTTCATATGCTAACTGGACAGTCCTGCAATTGAGGTCCACAGAAGTTGTTGCGGTTAATAAACACTGCTCTGGTGCTATGCCTAGAAATGATATATTAGAATAAATGTAGAGGCATATCAATTTAAAGTTCAGATTGAATCTAAATTGCACTGTGAGGGCAATGCCAGCATTCTTTGCAGTTTTGCAAAGTAGTAGTAGTAGTTATTGTACAACAACAACAACAACAACAACAACAACAACAATAATAATAATAATAATAATAATAATAATCGTAATAATTTACCATAGTGGTAGTAATGGTAGTAATTCTGCTACCTATTCTAACATATGGACACCAACCTCACAATTGAAACAAAAGCTACAAGTGGTACGAAGAGCCATGGAAAGATACATGGTCAGCATCCATCCTGCCCATGGATTAGAGAACAAACAAAAAAATATAATATCATCAAAAGAGTAATTGAAATGGAAATGGGCTGGTCACTTAGCAAGAAGAATTAATGGCAGCTGGACTAAGGTAGTCATAGAATGGATCTTGATAAAATGTGTCCACAAAGAGATGTGGAGCGATGACATCAGCAAGTATTGTGAGCCCAATTGGCAAAAGAAAGCTCAGGACAGTATTAGTTGGAAACATGCGGAAGAGGCCTTCATTCTGCAATGGATACAGTGGCTAAGATGATGATGAAGAAGAAGAATGATTTCAGATCTGTAATCTGTTTCCTTGGATTTAAACTCACTGAACTGATAACTTATTTCTCATATTCATAGAAATGCATTGTATGTTCAGTTATGGATCAATTGAATCCAATGAGATGATAGGGGTGACACTTTCAAGGAGATCTGGGAGTGAACTCTGAATGACATTCTGTGATGTGTGTGCTTGATCTTTGAGTTTCCTGTACTGTGCAAGCTCTCGTGAGGAGATCAAAAACTGGGTTCAGGCAATCATTCATACATTTCTCTATGAGGGAGGAAGTGGTATGTTTTGGGTGATACAGCGTTGATGATGCTCAGCTTTATACCTCCAACCAAGGTTGAACAGGAGATGTGGGAATCTTGACCAATGCCTGAAAATTGAGGAGCTGGATGGGACAGAACCAGGCTTGGATGAATCCCAGCAAGATAAAGATTCCGAATCAGACTTCAGTCCAATTTTGGGAGTCCCGTTCCTGAAGCTCAGCTCCCTTCTGTCACCTGGCCCATTCATTTTTTTAATGAATAATTGTTCTAAAAATAAGGCTTTGCAGAGATTTTAAAAACCACAGAAACATAGAAGAAGAAATAGAAAAGAAATTATAATAGAATAAAAGAAAAAGTTAAGAATAAAAAAAGCAAGGAAAAGAAAAATATCTAAGGATGCAACTTCCAGTCTTCTTTGTTTTGGTCTGCTGTTCAGCCTAGAATGGAGATATAAAGCTAGGTATAATCAGTGATATGTCACCTGAAACTGGTGGATGGCCAGTCAACCATGAATGTTTTCTAGTTAACTGTCCATAAGTCCTAGTAGGAAAAGTTCTGGTTTCACCAGAATGTTAATTTTTAAAATTCTGTGCCTCACCATATGTATTTGTACCTAGTATTCCACCACCACCATCACACACACACTTTTTCATGCCCTCTAATGTTTTAGACAGACTCAATCTGGTCTTTGGGACAACTTGCTTTACCAACCAGAGATATATGATAGAATTCTAGGTTACATCTTTTCTAGTATAAATTTAAAACAACAAATAATACAGTTTGGTCTGATAATTAAGGCATCAGGCTAGAAAGCAGGAGACTGTGAGTTCTAATCCTGCTGTAGCCATGAAAGACAGCTGGGTGACTTTGGGCCAGTCACTCTTTCAGCTCAATCCACCTCACAGGGTTGTCGTTGTGGGGAAAATAGGAGGAAGATGTATTGGATATGTTCGCCACCTTGAGTTATTTGTAAAAATAATAAAGGCAGAACACAAATAAATAAAGCTTATTATGCAGGTAATCCAGATCTAAAATGACTAATTTTCTGTGGAGTCATAAATGTTTTAAGAATTTAGTTTTAGTTTATAATATTTTCTTCCCAAATGTTTACAGTTGAATCTTTTTCTGTAGAAAATTCCCTGAGCATTTTTATTATAAATACTTGGAAAAAAAAAAGAAAGAGTTTTGTAATGTACTACGGCAGATAATTTGACACCAAGAATTTTAAATGGGTAGTTCTGAAAAAATTTAAACACCTGCTTTTTAAAAGATACTCTTCTTGTGGTTTGAAAGTTTTTTTTTTTTTAAGGATATCTGTCAAGATGATGTTATATACCTAGTAACAACTCACACATCATTTTCTTTCTTTTTTTTCTCCCCAGAATTGCCGCATTATGATCATGACTGAAAGTGTCGATTCTCTGGTTATGGCTTCCAGCCAGGACCTCTGGACTGAAATCTGTTCATCTCTGCCACATCCAGGTCAGAATGAAGAGTCCAATAATGCATTTGCAGATTCCTTTGCAGATTCTTATGTTCACGTGATGGAGAATCAGAGGGAAGTAACCGGCCCCACTCTGCAAATGAATGAGAAGCCCTGGGTACCGTTAAAAGATTCAGAGCTCTACTTGGCATCTTTAGGTCAGTATTGAAGTATTTTCTAATCTAGGGGTTATTCACAGGAGTTGATACTTTCTTCAACCTGGATATGTGAGACTTTGAATCTTATAATCCCAGCTACAGATAATGATATTGTTGGGAGGATCATAGAGAATTGTGAATCTACCCATTTGACACCCATTTGTGTATAATTTTAAAGCAGTGTTTTTCAAACTTGGCAACTTAAACAGTTGTGGTCTAGAATTGCCCAACTAGGATTCTGGGTGAGGAGTTTTGGGAGTTGAAAGGCACACATCTTTTAAAGTTGGCAAGCTATAAAAAATACTGCTTTTATGTTCAAATTCTTTAAGCCTGATACAGATGCATTTTTTAAACAATACATCTGTCAGGTTTATCAGTTGCATAAATGATTCTTGTACTTTCACAGTTTTCTGGAGATTGTCTGATATTCTGTGACATCAGAAAGATTCCTATTTTATTTTTAAGATTTGTGACACTAAGGTATATCATATTTTCCTACCTGAGATTTTACAGAGCTGTGAAAGAAAAATCACTGCCTATTTTAACGAATTTGGTTTTTTTTAATGAAACTTTCTGAAAAATATAACTGAAGTTATCTTTTTCAATAACGTGTTGAAAAAAAATCTAATCTATCAGCCAATTGGGAAAAAGAAGAATGGGTGTTCTTAATGTGGATGAAATTCCTAAGTATAAAGATTTCTATTTCACATTTTTCTTGCCTGCTCTGCATGTAATCTCATGTGAAATATTTGTAGGAATAACTGTGAGCCATGATCTTTAAAGGATAGTAAAACCCTTTCTTCTTTAAATATACTGTGTTTCCCTGAAAATAAGACCCTGTCTTATTTATTTTTTTTGCCACCAAAAAAGGCACCAGGTCTTATTTTGGGGGGACGTCATTCACCGACTAACCTCACTTGTGTGCGTTGCCCCCGGCCCCTCATTTTTTCTGTCAGAGGCCTTCAGGAATTACTACTTCTGCGGCCAGCAAGGCTTTCCTGAAGGCCTCTGCAGCCAATAACAGAGCTCCAGATCAATATGGAGCGTTGTTATCAGCTACAGAGGCCTTCAGGAAAGCCTTACCAGCCTTGCTGACTGCAGAAGAAATGGGCCGGCAAGGTAGGTGTCGGGGTATGTGAGGCCTGGCTACAACTGTCCAAAGGGAAGTAGTAGGGTAACACACCCCATCCCCACCCTAGTTTAATTTTTATCTGTGCACTCTGGAGTGGGTAGGATCTTAATTAGGGCTTATTTTGGGATTAGGGCTTATATTGGGCGCATGTGTAAAAATCAAGCTAGAACTTACTTTTGGGGTAGGTCGTATTTTCGGGGAAACCGGGTAAATGCCACTTTGGTGCACAAGTTTCTCAAAGTATATTCTGATTTGGATTTGGAACAGTAAAAGAAAAAAATTAAAACAATGGTTTGGTCCATGCTGATATTTGTTTTTATCCAGTCTCCAACAAAATAAAGCTCTGACATGAAGCTTTGACATTAGAAGGGTCTGTCAGGGTTTGTTACACTGTTAACATAGTTACAATTTATACAAAACTTTAAGAGTTGACCTGAACATTGTTCACTTTAACCTGCCCGCTGATTTTTATTTTTCTACGGGGTGCATTTTTCCTTCATTAGTTTGTTTCTTTCCTCAGAGAGAAGATTAATGAGAATAAAGGGTTTGTCTCAGGAAGTGACATCCAAAGATATCCTGCATACACTTTCTCAAGCTAAGAAAGAAAGTTGGGACAGGTTTCTGCAGGAGAAGTCTGAATCTGACTTTTATATGGAGGGAACAGATTCTGATGAGAGGTAATGCTTGTGTAATAAATATTTTATACTTAACACCACTTTTAAATATTTGTCTTGTAAAAATTGCAAGTGTTATGAGAGAAAGGATATTCTGGGACATTTATTTATACTCTAGGGTCTTCTGGTGCACCTATGAATGTTTTTAGTGTCAAAGGTCAGCTCGAAAAATGCTTAGAAGGAGCTCCAATTGAATTCCACAAATATGTTTGTCTTTTTTACTTATCCCAACCAAAAATGTCTTTCCAACTCCACATGATTTCAGTTTCTTAGCACATACAGTACATGCTATTCTGCACTTCTCCTAAAGCTCTTCTTTTTAAAACTAAAAACATGTATATCCACTTATGTATATAGTGATATATTTCTGTTTACATATTAAGCAAAAACATATATCTCTATTTCTCCTATCCCCTTCAATTCCCCACCCCCGTTCCAAGCTTTCCTGAATACATTGCTGGCTTTTTAATGTTTCTGACTCATTCTGACTGCTTTTCCCTACCGCTCTTTCTCTCAGTCCAACTAGGTTGATATTTCTTCTTTTCAGTTTTGGCCAGTATTTTCAAAGCCAGTGAGACTGCGCTAGCGTGTGATAACAAAAAGCTGTTTTGTTTTTTTTTAAATTGCACCGTTTTCTTTTTCCTGTATGGGTTTGGAAAAATGCCCCTGCATATTGAGTAAAACCTGCACATTTTCAAGTTGCATTTTACATCTCGAAGCTTTTGTTCAGGAAAATTGAAATAATGAGCAAGCTGTTACCTCCTAGTTTGCAAAAACCCAGTTCTATAATTTCTCTTTGATTTTGCTAAGCAGTTATTGTGGCCTTGTTACCTAGGAAATCTGGTTTCAAAAGTGAATCATCTTCTCCACTTTTCTACAGACTTGTTAAATTGGAGTCCTATCGGAGAAGCATCTTGACCTGGCTCTTAACATTTTGGGTGCTTCTTTGAACATTTGTGGCAGAAATGTTATTTAAATAGGAAACTAAGTTGTCATTATCCGGTGTGTATGTGTGTGTGTGTGTGTGTGCAGGGGTGGGATTCAAAATTTTTAACAACCGGTTCTGTGGGCAGGCTTAGGTGATTTGGTGGTCATGTGACTGGGTGGACATGGCTTGATGGTCATGTTATTGGCTGGGTGTGGCCAACTCAATATCACTCACATCGAGGCATGTATCTCCTCACTTGGCCTCTCATGACTGTGGGGATGCTGCAACAGTCGTAAGTGTGAAAAATGGTCATGTCACTTTTTTCAGTGCCATTGTAACTTTGAATGGTCACTCCACACAAGCAAAGTACCAGCAAAGGAGGGAAAAATAACTCCAGAGAAGTTCCTGAGGCAGGAAATCCAGTCCTGCCAAGAATGTAATAAGAGTTAACGGAGAGGCAGTTTCTGTAAGCAACACCAGAATGTTTCCTTCCTGCCTTCCTTACAGGGTTAGGCCAATAATTTCTTCTAACAACTGGTACTCCAAACCGCTTAGAATGTTAACAACTGGTTCTAGCGAATAGGTGCGAACTGGTAGAATCCCACCCCTCTGTGTGTTTGTGTGTGTGTGTGTGTGTGTACAATCTGCTATGGATTCGTACAGAGCAAATGTTGGGACTCTGCTCCCATGAGACTTTGCAGCAGCATAAAAGCATTAATTTTAAGCAAAGTCTTGTTAGTGTTTGTCAGGTCTCAGAGCTTGTCTTATTTCTAGTGTTTGTCTTGCTTTAATCAAAAGTCTAAGAACCACAGTGTTTGAAAAACACATATCCTACTGGAAATTGTATCCAAGCGGTGGCTTCTTTTTTCATTTTCCTTTGAAAATTACATTTAAAGACTTGCATGGGGAAAATGTATGCATCACCATCACCTGGGAAAATAAATGTTTGCCAGACCAGACTCCTGTCCTAATAACGTAAATCTTAAAAGAACTTAGATTTTACAGTCACTAAGGAGAATCTTCAAGGGAGCCATCCTTCTCTAAAGGAAGAGGGAAAGAGAAAGACAAGCTTGTTCTCAAGTACAGAAAAGAGAAACATGACACGTGAAGAAAGAAAAAAGATGGCTAAGAAAAAAGCCAAGCCAGTACTAGTTGTGAATATATGCTAATTGTAGTTAGATTAGAATGCTTATCTTTTATCCCTCTGGGCAGCTGAGCCCATCATATTCTTCCTAATCCCTTTGCTTACATCTTCTGTCTTTGGGTTGTAAGATTCATCTGAAAGCAGTTTAGTCTGATGTTTTTGGAATCTATTTTGAGAGTCTCTTCAGCTTAAGAAAAGCGCTTTAAATAATGTTAGCTACATTTAAATTTTTGCTGCATTCTTGTCAGCTATTGACAATAGCTTGATAAAGCTATTGATTTTATCAAGTCAGATGCCAGTGGCAACAGACAGACAGTGCGGTATCAATTTAATCTTTATTCAATTGATCTTTCTTGAAACTGATTCTCAAACAAATTGTGTTTGTATTTGTAGCTTAAAGATTCAGCTACAGATTCTTTGGTTCTTATTCAATATAAGTGTCAACACATAGTGTGCAGCTGTAAAAACAGAAGGCCAACAGTATGTTAGTGATAATAAGCAATGTTATTGAAAATAGAGATGCTAAACAATTAGTAAAACATATAAATATCTTTTGGACTACAAATTAAAAGAAGAAATAGTCACAGAATCTTTGATAATTTGGGCTAAAAACGTGGGTCATAGTATTGAATTAGATAAGTGGGAACACATGTGGCAAACAAATTACAAATTAACCATGCCAGTCTCGTATAAAGAAAACTTACATAAAATGGTTCATTGCTGGCACCTACCTCCTGCGAGGCTGGCTAAGATGTTCCCCAACCTACCACCCAACTGTTGGAAATGTAACTATGCACAAGGAACATATTTTCACATGTGGTGGTGGACTCGCCCATGTGCTCAGAAGTTTTGGAGAAATATTAGAAATTGGATTTTAAATATAACAAAACAAAATTTAAACTTGAACCTGAAACCTTTCTGCTAAGTATAATAGATTTAAACATGGAGAAAAAAATATCAATATTTAATTTTGCACATCATAACTGCGGCCACAATAACCTATGCACAAAACTGGAAACTGTCCTCCATTCCTTCAGAGGATATGGTAATTTAAAAAATACATGAATGCACTGAGTTGGATAGCCTAACCAAATTGTTAAAAAATAAACAAGATAGTGACTATTATGAAATATGGAACATTTGGTATGAGTGGTTAAAGAAAAGGTAATATTTGATATTTGGATAAGTTATGGAAATGACAGAAGATGTGCATTTAATCATAAACTATACAGAGAAATTAAAACATTAAAAGAATGAAGGAGTTATTGTAACAAGGCAGATCACGTCAATGGTAAAGATAAGGAAACAATTTTTTAACCATTGCTCAATATATGCTCTAAAATGTATATATACATTTCTCTGTATATATACATTGCTCAAAAAAATAAAGGGAACACTTAAACAACACAATGTAACTCCAAGTCAACCACACTTCTTTGAAATCAAACTGTCCACTTAGGTAGCAACACTGGTCAATTTCACATGCTGTTGTGCAAATGGAATAGACAACAGGTGGAAAGCATAGGCAGTTAGCAAGATATCCCCCAATAAAGGAGTGGTTCTGCAGGTGGTGACCACAGACCACTTCTCAGTTCCTATGCTTTCTGGCTGATGGTTTGGTCACTTTTGAATGCCGGCAGTGCTGTCACTCTAGTGGTAGCATGAGAGGGAATCTACAACCCACACAAGTGGCTCAGGTAGTGCAGCTTATCCAGGATGGCACATCAATGCGAGCTGTGGCAAGAAGGTTTGCTCTGTCTGACAGCGTAGTGTCCAGAGCATGGAGACAGGAGACAGGCCAGTACATCAGGAGATGTGGAGGAGGCCGTAGGAGGGCAACAACCCAGCATCAGGAGCGCTACCTCTGCCTTTCTGCAAGGAGGGACAGGAGGAACACTGCCAAAGCCCTGCAAAATGACCTCCAGCGGGCCACAAATGTGCATGTGCCTGCTCAAACGGTCAGAAACAGACTCTATGAGGGTGGTATGAGGGCCCGACGTACACAGGTGGGGGTTGTGCTTACAGCCCAACACTGTGCAGGACGTTTGGCATTTGCCAGAGAACACCAAGATTGGCAAATTCACCACTGGCGCCCTGTGCTCTTCACAGATGAAACCAGGTTCACACTGAGCACATGTGACAGACGTGACAGGGTCTGGAGATGCTGTGGAGAATGTTCTGCTGCCTGCAACATCCTCCGGCATGACCGGTTTGGCAGTGGGTCAGTAATGGTGTGTGGTGGCATTTCTTTAGGGGGCCGCACAGCCCTCCATGTGCTCACCAGAGGTAGCCTGACTGCCATTAGATATGGCATGAGATGAGATCCTCAGACCCCTTGTGAGACCATATGCTGGTGCGGTTGGCCCTGGGTTCCTCCTAATGCAAGGCTTCATGTGGCTGGAGTGTGTCAGCAGTTCCTGCAAGACGAAGGCATTGATGCTATGGACTGGCCCACCCGTTCCCCAGACCTGAATCCAATTGAGCACATCTGGGACATCATGTCTCACTCCATCCACCAATGCCACGTTGCACCACAGACTGTCCAGGAGTTGGGGGATGCTTTCGTCCAGGTGTGGGAGGAGATCCCTCAGGAGACCATCCACCTCATCAGGAGCATGCCCAGGCATTGTAGGGAGTTCATATAGACACGTGGAGGCCACACACACTACTGAGCCTCATTTTGACTTGTTTTAAGGACATTACATCAAAGTTGGATCAGCCTGTAGTGTTTTTTTCCACTTTAATTTTGAGTGTAACTCCAAATCCAGACCTCCATGGGTTGCTACATTTGATTTCCATTGATAATTTTTGTGTGATTTTGTTGTCAGCACATTCAACTATGCAATGAACAAAGTATTTAATAAGAATATTTCATTCATTCAGATCTGGGATGTCTTATTTTTGTGTTCCCTTTATTTTTTTGAGCAGTTTATATATATTGATTTGTCTATTTTAAATGTATGTCAAATAAATGTTTTTTCTAGAATAAAATTATTAAATTTTAAAAAAAGAAAATAGAGATGCTAATATCATAATGCCTATGTATAAATCAAGAATGTGACTGCATTTGGAATGTTGTGTGAAGTTCTGGTTACTACATCTGAAAAAAGATCTAGAAGAGTTAGAGAAGGTTCAGAGGAGAGCATTTTAGATGATAAAAAGGCTGGAACAACTGCCCTCTAAGGAAAAGTTGTGACATTTTAGTCTAGAACAGTTGCAAATGTTGAGGTATTCATGGTGTGGATAAAGTGGGAAAGGACTTGCCATTTTCCCTTTCCAAAAATAGTAGAACCAGAGGCCACCTGATGAAATTGAATCCTGGAAGAATCAGAACATTACATCTATGTGTAATTAGACTTTGGAATACTCCACTAAAAAAAATGGTGCTGTCTACCATCTTGGCAGGTTCCCCCCAAAAAGAGTTGGACCAGTTCATGGAAATCATGGGCTTCCATGGCTTGATAAGGGCAGGGGAGATGCTTCTGAAGGCAGGAGATGTTCTCCTGGGACCCTAGGAGACTGTGCAGTTGGTTGATCACTGAAGGTACTAAATGGTGCAGGGGTTCTTATCCAGCAGGACACTATTTATTTTATTAAGCTTTCCAGACCATCACAATATCTAAATAAATGATCTTTAGCTAATCTAGAAATTTTCTAAAGAGGTTCAGGACTCTCTTTTTTCCATCAGCAGACTAGCTCTCTAAAAACGGAAAAGAATGAGTACGGCACAGATTTCCTGTGGAAGTAAAAACCAGAAAAAAAACAAAGATCAATCTCAGTCAAACCAAGAGTTGTAGAAAAAGAACACTCAGAAGAGAATTCACCAATGCATCCCCTATGGAGTACAGTACAGTACTTTAATTAATAGCTTGGAATGCTATTAATTGTTCCATTCTTAAGCCTGCTTACTCCTGGTCATATGGCCCAGACTTGTCCTGTTACAATATTAAGCGATTGGAAAATTCCTAAAACTATATTTTACATGTTTTTCCTACTTTATTTATTTATAGTGTTATATTTATAGCCTGCCTATCTTTAAAAAAAAAAGTCAAGGCATTTAATGTGCTGCTTTTTCCTATTACCTTCTCCTATTAACCCTGTGAACTAACTTGTGTTGAGGAACTTACCCAGTTCACCAAGTGATAATCTGCTTAATCATATTATTTGTCAAGCTATGATTACTGTAGCTGGCATTGTGATAAGTCACTAACCATAGTTTCCAAACCATAATGGCTTAATCCCTGCAATCTATCATGGTTTAGTATAACCAAATGGGGATTCTACTGGAATTTTCAGAGAAGGTACATTTCAAAAACAGATTCTGCCCTTGCAATTATGAATGAATAGTTTAATCATTGCTTGTTTCAGGGGTAATTAGTCTTTCTCACTACAGGCTCATATGAAGTGAACCTTGTGGTTATATTCAGAAAATAATTGCCTTCGGACCTTTGCCTACTGACAAAAATGGTTGATATAGACAGACACAAGCCAACTTTTTCCCTGAAAGCAACTATCTTTCTATGATCTTTGCCAGAGCCTGATCTGCTGATGCAAACTAGCAAGTTAATTGTGGTTATGTTTGCTTATTTTTTAAAATTGGTGTAGGAAGCCTGATGGACTAATCTAATCTAAAGTCCTTTATTGGTGCCTGCAGGCACCATATTGTCTACACCTGTCTTATTTATTTACGCTGAAGTGCTCTTGTAACCTTTTGTTCTGCTTCTTCTCAGTACTTTGGAATACTTGAAACGTTGGCTACAACCAGAGAAGGTGGCAGTCAGCAGTGAGGAGATACAGTTTCTCATCCCCCTTGGAGCACCTCCTGAGAAGCAAGAGGCTGAAGAGGAAGAAGAAGAAGAACCTACGCCTGTAGAACAGTGAATGACCTTGGACCTTGTCTCCGGCACAGTTGGCTGTTGGCACTTTGGGTCAAAATGCCAGAAGAAGGATAGAGTTTGATAGACCTTGTGGATTTTTCTCTCCACCAAAGTTCATAATGTACAGATTCTGGTTTAAACGTCTTATAATGTTGCAGATTTAACTTAATTGTGCGTAATTCGTTAAGATGATGAAGCGTGGTAGAATAACTTAATTTGGCAAACAGATTTAAATCTCTTCCCTCAAATGCACAGAAGATTTTGCACTTAAATGATCATCTATGGAAAAAAACCTTAGCAATACTTTCCTTGCAGAATGTAATTGCCTCATTCACAACTCCCCTGGTTTACCCACGGGTATCTTTTTCACAACTTGGGAAAAAATCCGGAACACCTGTACCCTTTTTCCCTGGGAAGTAAAAAATGTCTACCACCATTCAGCTGAGCTGAGCTAAAGCTGAGCCAAGCCATGCAATTCTACCCTTCAGTGGGATAAGCACTTCCTTAGCAAAAACACAATAAATGCTGGGTGGGGGAAAAAATGTCCTACTTTGTGTAGCTTTGTTCTGTTGCGGCTATTATTATTTTTTATTCATTTCATCAAAGGATTTGATGTTATCATCTTTTCAAATATTTTTTGGGGGGGATGTTGGGCTAATAATTATCTATTCATGTTTTTCTTCCTCTTATTTCTTTTGCTGCAAAAAGTAAAAGAAAATGCATAATGAAGAAAAAAAACCAGAGCTGTCAGTTGAATGAGGAAGACAAAGTTTGATATGAGGGCAGAACAGAAATGTGAGTTTTTAGAGTAACCCTCCCAACAAGCCCCTATTTCACTTTATTTGGGCGGGGGAAGATTGGTAGGAAGTAATTCTCCCATTCAATGCTATAGCATAGCTTTGGTCTTTCTATCTCCCCCATTTTTATCGCCAAGCCTTTATAGTTTTTGCGTCCAATACTTCTTATCATGATTTGCTGTCTTATTATTGGCTGTTTTGAATATTTTTTTTAAATTTGCTTTTTCTTTTCTATTTCCATGGAAATTATTTTTAACAGCTGCATATGGAAATAATTGAAGACAGGAACTATCTGAATTTCATTATTTACCATAACTTTATTGGCAAAATTATGTAGTCAAATTTGAGACGCTACATACCACCTTAATGGGTCTGAGAAAGGAGAAAAACAACTCATTTTTTTAAATGCAACAATTATTTGCATTGGTTTAGCACATATTGGGGAAATGATGTGATATTCCCACTGTGGGGTTCTTTTTTTTTTGGCACTGAAATTCTCAACTGGAAGATCTGATGTCTCTTTAAATGTCATTGTTATTTCATCTCCAAAATTGTAGAGATACCCTGTTTTACTAAACATATCAGAAAATAAAAGTTCATCAAATGTATTAGACAAAATGTTGAAAACTTGAGAAGTTTACAGATTATTTCTTTACTGAATTGATTTCAAATGTAGCCTAACTAGATTTTCTGAATCTGGTAATATAATATGAATAGCGGATTGTATCGTTTGATTTTGCTTTGTCTGTAATCTGAATATTGTCTACTTGTATAATTAACACTATTTGAAAGTTGATTGTGATGTTTTCTCCATCCAGTGAAAATATACATTCTTGTGTAGATAAATTTGGGGTGATTTGGTAAATGTTTTAGAATAGAGGTGGCACACAGAGAAATAGCCGCATTTTGGCTGGTGGAAAAGTGCTATAATGTTGCATGTAAACATTGATTATTAATCAAAGAAAGAAACCCCAATCCACAAACTTTAAGAAAAACTTACCCTCTTTGCTAATGTCATTGTGCCCATATAGTTTATAGTCAACCAAAAATATTCAACAAAAATTGAGGGGCGGTTGCCCTGGCTGTTTAAGAATTGGTCCCATGCACCTGTGTGTAGTGAATGCTGCAAACAGGTGCATGGGATTAATCCTTAGAAAAGAAAAGAAGATCCTCCTGAATATTTTAATGTGATATTGTCACTGTTTTCAGACATTCTTGTATTGCCAAATAATTTAGAGTTGCAAGATGGACACCGAAGCAGGAGGACACTAAAGGTCCAGGTGTTAATGTAAAAAAGGCAGATGGCACCCCCAGGACAGTCACTGTGTTGGTTATGGGAAACTCATTGGTGCTTGAATTCGTGTGAACCAGCCAATGATGAGCAGCTTACATGAATCAGAAACAGGAAAAGGAAAAAGGCGGCCCTGCCCCTTTGGGCTTCTCATTTCCATAATCAGAACATTATGGTAGAATGGAGAGCTCTCTGAATTATTACCCCTCTCCCCCACATTTCCCCCGGCTCAAGAATGTGGCAATGTGGAAGCATCTGGTGCTAATATGGCTTCCAAAGCTGACGTCTGCACTACTGTAGGTGGCTTGTGTGAAAGACATTGGAAAACAAAAAAAGGAAAAGAACAGGGCCGCTATGCCCCAAATTCTCTAAATGCTTATGATGTTTACGATGCTAATTGCAATCGTGCATGATTTCTGCAGAGCAATTAACTAAGTGATTTCCAAATTCACCGGGAAATTGTTATCTTTATTGACAAGTCAACTAGGACTCATTCAAATGATGGAGTGGGATATGATTTAAGATATAAGGTTAGTACTAATAACAGCAATTAACACAGATTGAAAAGAAACATCCATCAAAATCCCCAGGTGGATCATTGCTGATGGATGTTCTGTACCTTCAGAATCCTTGATATTTAGTCAAGAATTTTAGAAAGTCTGGTTAAAAAGGCTCAACTGTCCTGATATTTGCCAACCAGAAATACCCTTAACTTAGAACCCTAATTCAGCCTGTGTGTTTGGTCATAAGTCATGACAGTTGTTAAGTAGATCACCATGTGGCCACACCTGGCTTTACAATCTTTTTGCAGCAGTCATTAAGTGAGTGCTATATAGTCATTAAACAAATCCATTGTTTGCTATAGGTTGGTTTTTTTGCTGGAAACCGGAAATAAATGTTGGTTTCCAACAAAAACATAAATTGTGGTTCCATGACTATGGGACACTGCAAACGGCCATAAATACGGCTGGTTGCCGGTTGGCCAAAATGTGGTCATGTAACCATGGGGGGGGGGGGCAAATCAGGGTTATAAGTCCCTTTTGAGGGGGGGTCTGTCATAACTTTAAACAATCATTAAGCCAAGGACTACCCGTAGTGATTGCAGAAATGCCTGCTAACTGGTAAGGAAAAGATGCCAAGAATCTGACTAATTTCCTTATATAGCCATCAAAAGATAATTCTGAAGCATGGAATCCATCAAAGGGATTACTGTAATGGCGCTACCCATAAAGATGCTCAGAAGCTACAGTTGATGCAGAATGCGATGGTGTGAGCAGTGATGGGTGTGCTTGAGTATGCTGGTGTGACATGATCCTGCAAGCTGAGCTGGTTACCAGTTGACTTCTGGCTGCAATTCAAGGTGCTGGTTATCGCCAGAAATGTTTTCATGCCATGTAGCCTGACTATTTGAGGAACTGCCTGCTTCCAGTTCTTTCTGGCCATCCAGGGTGACCAGGTAGGCTGGTCATGCTCTGGGTATGGGACATAATATATTTAGATTTCAGCAAGGCTTTCGATAAAGTAGACCACAACCTACCTCTTAGTAAGCTAGAAAAAAGTGGAATAGATAGCACCACCACTAGATGGATTCACAACTGGCTGGCAAACGGTACTCAACGAGTAGTTCTTGAGCGCCATCACTTGAGACTGCTTGGGCAGGGGGGTGGACTAGATGACCTACAAGGTCCCTTCCAATTCTGAGTATCTGTATCTGGGTTCCATGTAAGTAGAGTCACCTTGTAGGGCCTAGGAAACACGCCTTCTCTGTTATGGCACGGGCCCTCTGGAACAGGGGTTGCCAACCTTTTGGGCCTCAGGGACCACTAAACTCATAATTTTAAATCCCACGGACCAGAGACCCTGGGAAAATCCCAAAAAATGTTTGCAGGAAAATTCCCCACCCCATTTTTTTACTGATTGATCATTCTTTATTTGGGATCACAGGACACCATCTCCAGCTCCGTTCCCAGGAGAGAGAGAGACTTTTGGCTTCATGCAAGGAAAGCAGCAGAAGCAGCAGAAGTCTTTCTTTCTCTCCCCCAAACTCCACCAGAAATGAATCTTTGTGAGAGTTGTCCTGCTGGCGCAGCCTCTTGGAGCAGGGTGCCTTGCAGGGTCCCAAAGACTCATTTCTGGTGGAGTTTGGGGGAGAGAAAGAAAGACTTTTGCTGCTTTCCTTGCGTGCAGCCACAAGCAGAAGAAAAAAGTGGAAAGAAGCAGCCTGGTGGCCAGGCCAGGTGCATGGGGTGCGTGGGGCAAGTTCCCCCTCCACCCTTTCCCCCCTCCCCTCACTACCTCATGTTGTTCACAATGCAAGCCTTGTGTTCCCATGGGCCACGTGGGCGGCACAGCCTTGTGTTCTCACGCAGCCTGGATTAATTGCTTTGGGGGGTGCTTTGGGGGGTGCTTTGGGGGTGACATTTCTCTGCGGACCACCCAATTTTTCTTACGGACCACCAATGGCCCCAGCGACCACTGCTCTGGAATGACATCCTGCCAGAGACCAGAAAGCCAATAAAAGACCTGGCTATAGTCTCAGGCTTTGAGCCAAAGCAAGACTTGAGCTCGTTGGATGGTGATATGTTCTTTCTGGAACCAATTGTGATTCCATTTTGTCCTTTTTACAAATCATTTAACTATAAGTTTCCCAGGATCTTATTTTCCTACTGGGATAATCTCTGGCAAGGGGGTGCATGCATCAAGTAATTGAGAGTGAAAAAAGCAGTGGGTAAGGCCGGAACAAAAAGAAGCGGGAACATCTTTCCAACGCCTTTTCCCCATGCTTTTGGAAAGTCTCATTTCATTCCCAGGATACAGACAGTAAAATCTCACCAATGCTCTGAATTAATATCTTGCAACAGGGTTTAGAAAAGAGGCCGAGAGCTATGCAAAATTAACATGAGCCTTATGTCCTCTGATTGATTCTAAGAAACATTAATCACGTTGATATCCATGCCTCTGCTTTGAAGAGTCCTTTGTTCTGTTGAAAGGGGAGGCGAGGGAAATTACTCTGATTTATTTAACTCATATGTATCAATCCCTAATACAAATCTGTAGAAGTGGGCAGAAGTGTTCCTCAGGCAGAAGAACGGAAGGCTTCACTCTGCTTTAGTCTCTTCTCGGTTGAGCAAGAATATTTTCTTTAAAAACCCCACTGCTTCCTTTTGAATGATTTCTATTTTAATGGTGTTATTACCCTTGTTATAACCTCCCATTACATTTTCTGAGATCTGGGGAGTGAGCATGACAATGTATCCCACCCTCATGGTCATCCCCATTGCCTCCACCCCATCTGAGAAACAGGTTTGATCTCTCCTTTCCTCATATTGCACAAGGCACGTAAGAGATTGGATAACCGTTTGTCTGAAAGTAGTGCAGGGTTTCCTGCCTAAGCAGGGGGTTGGACTAGAAGACCTCCAAGGTCCCTTCCCACTCTGTTATTCTATTATAGCCTTTTATTTCATGGTGCATTTGATTCTGATTAATTCTGAGTGGCCATTAAAAGTAAATAGATTTTTATTTTTGTATTTCATGATAGCTTTTTCTTTCATGTTCAATTGCTCCTTGCAAAAAATTCCCATAATTTGCATGGATTATAGCGACTGACAAATATCTTCTAATAAATAGTTGCTTTTGTCTAAATGGCAAATAGTTGAAAATTGAAATAATAGTGCTCTTTATATTATACAATAAAAAGGAAAGAAGGCCTGAGAACATTGTGTGCCATTTCGGTATTTCATGAAATGAGACAACTTTCCAATAACATCAATTATCAGTTATGAGCTATTTGTTCATCAGGTCAAATTATCTTTAGATAAACATGCTGATGCAGTTGTACGCTTCAGATTAACAACTATTTATCCTCCTAAGTACACATGTGATAAAGATTGACTTGAAAGGAAAGCTTCCAATTTCCTCCTAAGATGCTGCTTGATAAAAATTTAATGGAAGAAGCAATAGGAAATGCTGATTGCTTTTAAAGAATATGGATTACCATAGAAATAACCTGCATTGGAAAGCTGTGCAAATTAAATATTTAATTCATAAATGTATTTCAGTCTTGACTAATTTCACTTTTGTGTTTAAAAATAGGCAGAAAGAAATATAAGCATGGA